CTCTCCCCCCTCTTCCTCTCCTCCTCTTCTCCCTCCACCCCCTCTCTCACTGTGCGTGTGCGTGAACGTGTGCGTGTGTGTATGCGTGTGTGCGGGTGTGCGGGCGGCGTGCGTGCGTGCGTGCATAATAAAACGAATTATAATTAAAATATTCATACATACATATACATATATACAAAAGCTATTCGGAAATCAACCTTTGGCAGGCTTGCAAAATAAAAGAAGAAACAGAAAAAACATTTTATTATCTGCAAAAACTGCTTACATATATACATTATTTTTTGACATAATTGCCATCCGAATTGAGGCACTTGTCGTAACGCGGCACAAGTTTTTGTATGCCCTCATCAAGATACAGTGTAACCAAACTGGAATCCAATTCCTAGCATTGCTCATCAACTTCTCGTTACCCTTGAATTGCTGCATTTCTAGCCACGCTTTCATGCGTGTGAACAGATGAAAATCAGTGCAAAGTCCGGGCTGTAGCATGAATGATCGAACTCCGAGGACGGAATATGATAGTCCATATTGCCAATTGGCCAATTGAACACTAGAACCTTCTGATTGATGCTAGTTACTTTAGGCAGCGGTCGATATGTATGCTATGTGCTGTCGGGAATGTGTGCTAACGGGACTCTTCTGAACTTTCATTGCATTACTTCAAAATTTCCGATGAGAGTTTTTCGACTACCCTACAGACCGGATTTTGCTCCGAACATTGATTTCCGAATAGTCTTTGTATAATATGTTTTAATTAGTTCGTTTTATGTTAAATTTATTTGAGAACATCTCAGGTTTTTATAGAAGAAAATATATAACCATAAAGAAAAAATGATGCATATATTAGGTCTACCGGAAAGTTCTGTCCGTTTTTGGAATAAAACAAAATATAAATTTTTATTACCGTCAATAAACTTTATTAAATAATGTAATTGCCATTATTCGGAGAAGTATTGTCAGCAACTGGATAATTTAAATACAGCAGTCCAAGAAAAGAGGCCGGCGATGTTCAATAGGAAGAACATCATACCGCATCATGATAATGCCAGGCCACATGCTGCTTTGGATACTCGTCAAAAAATTGCAGAACTAGGCTGGAAAATTCTGTCGCATCCACCATATTCCCCGGACTTAGCACCCTCCGACTATCACTTGTTTTTGTCCTTACAAAATTTTTTGAGGGGCAAAAAATTCAAAAATGAAGAAGATATCAAACAAGCACTGGTTCAATTTTTCGCATCAAAAGATAAAACATTTTTCGAAAATGGGATATACAAATTGCCCTCACGCTGGCAAGAAATCATTAATAATAATGGCAATTACATTATTTAATAAAGTTTATTGACGGTAATAAAAATTTGTATTTTGTTTTATTCCAAAAACGGACAGAACTTTCCGGTAGACCTAATATAATATTTTCTGTATAAAATATTTTATATGTATATATAAAATATATAGAAGAATAGAGAAACGAAATCGACTACATATTCATATTCACGAATCTCGATTAAAATTAATTTGCACATTTTTTCATTGTATGTAATATGTCGTCTTTAATCTCGGTCAAGTGCGTTTACTCGCGTAATTATATTAGGTCTACCGGAAAGTTCTGTCCGTTTTTGGAATAAAACAAAATACAAATTTTTATTACCGTCAATAAACTTTATTAAATAATGTAATTGTTATTATTATTAATGATTTCTTGCCAGCGTGAGGGCAATTTGTATATCCCTTTTTCGAAAAATGTTTTATCTTTTGATGCGAAAAATTGAACCAGTGCTTGTTTGATATCTTCTTCATTTTTGAATTTTTTGCCCCTCAAAAAATTTTGTAAGGACAAAAACAAGTGATAGTCGGTGGGTGCTAAGTCCGGGGAATATGGTGGATGCGACAGAATTTGCCAGCCTAGTTCTGCAATTTTTTGACGAGTCTCCAAAGCAGCATGTGGCCTGGCATTATCATGATGCAGTATGATGTTCTTCCTATTGAACATCGCCGGCCTCTTTTCTTGGACTGCTGTATTTAAATTATCCAGTTGCTGACAATACTTCTCCGAATAATGGCAATTACATTATTTAATAAAGTTTATTGACGGTAATAAAAATTTGTATTTTATTTTATTCCAAAAACGGACAGAACTTTCCGGTAGACCTGATATATAATGTATATATTTTTTAAGTTCTTCTGTAAAGAAAAATAGAGACGAATCAATTAATAAAAAAGAAAGAAAAGGCCAATTGGAGCCTAAGTTTCTTTCTTTCTTTTTTTATTAATTGATTCGTATCATTGGAGCCTCGGTTTATTAAATTTCTATTATTAAAAATAAAGATTGTCAAATTAAGAGTTATAATGCAATTGATCAACATTAACAGGAAACATTCGAAGATTCAGGCGAGTGTGTGAGCATATTCAGTCCCAAGTGTGTTCGAGAAATGTAGGCATAAGCTTGGGAGGACAAAGTAGAGCTGCACCTCCTAGTCCGAGAGCCTCCAGGAAATTTACTACGGAAATGAGTGAGAGCTCCAGCTGCGGTAGCGACACCAGCGAACGGCTCTTTCTTAGTCCTCATCCAGCTACCAGACAGGTAGTCTGTTTTAACAAGGTAGCGCATCATCTCCATTATCTTCGTCATCATTAACAAAATAATAATATGATTTTCTTAATTACTAAATCATTACCAGACCAAGTTAAAATTATTTTGTTGCGCCAAGTTTCGTAAAACAAAACATAAAATCTTATTTTGTTTAGAAAGCCCTGGGAACAAAAGTCCATATACATGTGATTAAATATATGTATAATTATATCTATATAATTATATATGAAATACGTCCCTCCACGCACACACACATAATATATATACAGGGTGTCCGATAATTTTTGACATACCCGAAGTGTGAAGGTAGATTGGCTCGAAACTGAGAAGGAAAGTCTTGTACCATTTTGCGATTTTCGTAATAATTATTGAGATATTAATTTAAAAAAATTGACCAATTCGCGCGAGTATAAGCGCGCAGCGAGAAGAGACAACCTAAAAGTAGGCGCGCGACAAAGTTTTGGGAGGAGCGCATTACAAATGACAACAGTTACGTACGAGCGGTACATAATAATGGATTCTCGCGTCCTAGCAACCACATATCAATGCCACCCATATCAGGCCGTTCTTTCTCACCACGCGATAATACTCGCGCGAATTGGTCGATCTTTTTAAATTAATTTCTCAATAATTATTACGACAATCGCAAAATGGTACAGGACTTTCCTTCTCAGTTTGAACCAATCAACCTTCACACTTCGGGTGTGTCAAAAATTATCGGACACCCTGTATACATGTATACAGGGTGAGTTTTTTAACTTGAAACTGTAAAATATCTCGGAAAGTAAGCTTTATTGAAAAAAATGTTTCAAACAAAAGTTGTAGAGTTGTAGGGGGGCCATATAAATATGGATTTGACCTTGAGTGACCTTTTCAAAGTGAGATCAATGTGATCGACGTTTTCTTAAATGGAACCCCCCTTTTTTCATTGATCTCACCTTGAAAAGGTCACTCAAAGTCAAATCCATATTTTTATCATGTGGCCCCCTCTGAACCCTACAACTTTTGTTTGAAAATTTTTTTTCGATAAAGCTTACTTTTCGAGATATTTTACAGTTTCAAGTTAAAAAACTCACCCTGTATATACAGGGTGTCTGGTAAAGATTGTGCCAACGCTCGTGAGCGGGTAGAGCACAGTAAACTGAACAGAAAAGTCCTGTACCATTTTTTTCTATAACGCTTAATAAAGGAGTTATTATTGAATAAAGTCTGGCCAATCAGCGCCGATCTTTAGCCGCGCCTGGTAGTGTGCGTGAGCGCTTCGTCGCTACAGCGGCGCACACTACCAGGCGGGCGGCTCACCGACGTGCGTCCGGCTAAAAGTAGGCGCGATAGTAGGAAGAGAAAGAAAGAGTAAGAAAATGTTATATACTCATATTCTTGAATTCAAATTTCTACAGATCTGCTACTTTGAATGCGATTTTCGCTATTTTCTCATCATATCATATTGAAATAAATTTGATAATGATTCAGCACATCAAAAAATATAAGAAAATATGTATAAGATAAATTCCATCGCCACGGCCAAAATCAAGTTACTTTACCCATCGTCCTTTGCCAACCGCTCGAGTTAGACGTAATTAAGCGCTGGGCACCGCAGTTTTTTCGAATTGCGCTCAATAATATGTTTTATTTTAAACTTCCATAACTTTTATAATTTGAGGATTAAATATATGAAATTTGAAAATAAAATTCGTCCTATTTCTTTATTATTAAAAGATAAAGTTCATTAAATATTTATTTTATATTTAGCTCTTTTATGAAAATATTATATGAAAATGGAAAATATATAAGATTATCGATATTTACTGGTATAATTATAGAAGGTTACATATTTTAGTACTTTTTAATGATATGATAACGCTCAAAGCAATCGAGTTCATATTCAAGTTATCAAAGCTTGAAAAAGACCAAAAAGTTCGCATATTAGCAATATATGTGAATTTATGTATATAGAATGTCCTAAGGTTTACCCGACAAACTGCGGGAGCATATTCTACAAATGGAAATAAGAAAAAAATATATGAAATTTGGCTAGAGAAATGCTTTATTACAAAGTTATAAGTAAATATTGAAACGGAGCCTGAAATAGGTAACCATGGATTTTCCATTGTGTAGAATATGAAAGATCGTACATGTTTAGTGCAGAATATGAAAGATCGAACGTGTTTATTTTATCTGTGTATTCATAACATGTTTATTATTTTTAAAAGATTCAGTATGATCTTTATTTTTACATCAATAGCTGTTAGATTTCAATAGTTGTATGAACTAGCAACTACTATCAAAATGCCAAGAGTGTTCTTAAATGAGGAATACACTGATTCTGTACAATAAAAAATCCGTTTTCACCTATTTCATGTTCCGTTTCAATATTTGCTTATAACTTTGTAATAAAGCATTTTTCTCTAGCCAAACTTCATATAATATTTTTTTTTATTATCACCTGTAAAATATCCTCCCGCAGTTTGTCGAAGAAACTCTGAGACACCCTATATATGTATCTTCGATAAATGAAATCTCAAAATAAATACCTGTTAGTGTTATCTTTTGTTTTAGAAATCCAATTACAGCGTTATTGACATTTGACATGCTTACATTGAGCGCTTATAGCAGTGTAACGCAAAAAGATAGATCTATCCATTCGGTCGTTCAATGATGACTCATGAAACGGATAGATCTACCCGATCGGTTGGCAAAATGTTAACTAACATATTGTGGGTGCCTGTCGATTTCAGATCGACTCGGATATCGAATCGGACACTTCTGTATTTGACGTGAAGTCGCCGACTCGCGAAAACGGTAGAAGAAGCTCGACGTCGACAAATAACAACAATGCCCTACCGGGCGATACAACATCGACGCCAGGCAGCTCGCCGAAAGCAGTGCGAAGTAATTCGGAAAGCCAAAACACGCCTGAGAAGAAATGTGTCACCACAATGAGTGGTAACAACATAGCGTGATACTATCAGAACCTTCGCTTCGAATTCCGATCAAGCCTGAAGAACTTGTGGGACAGTGCTCAGAGATTTTGGTGAGATTTCCTCTGACGAACGCTTAGAACGTCTTAATAGGAAAGGCGTATAAACCACATTTATACGTCATTGCAACATAGAAGATTGAGGTCTAACATTATATATGAATATTTCCATCAGCAGCATAAACAAGAAGATCAAGAGGCGACAATGGGAATAGTGCAGTCATTTGTTATGTGAACGAAATTCGAAACATCGAAATCTTTAGTGCGAATTCTAAATTTACTTTCCATTTTCGGAATTAAGACATGCTTGATTATGTTCGAGAAATACATGCATGAAATTTTCTTTGAGCAACTCGAATCTAAATCATATATAGAAGTTAAAATATAATATACTAAATGTAGATCTCATACTGTTCTGTTCATAAAATAAATAACTTTCCGCGAAAGAGATATTATTTCCAAATCGCCTCCAGATAAAATTACCATGAATAAAATCAGTGGTGTATATGTTAATAAATAAGCCTACACGGTATGACACACATGAAGAATCACACGAAGAAAGGGATTCAGGAAATGAAGTGTAAAGTATATTAAAGAGATGTATTTGTTATAAGTAGAGAGCGAGACTCTTAACTGCAATGATATGACATTATTATTGTTTTTCTCACATTAGATATTTTTGCAAAATAGCATTTTCCTGTACAATAATCGCTGATTTTCGTCTGTTAAAGTTATAAATGATGTTTTTGCATTAGGCATGTTTTATTCGTTAGCTAGAAAAATTACAAATGCCGTTGCTCGGAATACGTTGTTGTTATTTCGATAAATTATAAATTATATTATACTGCAGATTATAATTTCTGCTCATTTATATTTTATTATTATAAGTTATTATATAATTTTTTTGAATGATTTTATAATTTTGTTATATCAATCTCTCCTCAAAGCAATTTAGCTAAATTCATATCAAATGCATTCTCACATCCATTGAAAAATATGAACCCGGTACGATCGAGCGCAAAGACCGCGCGCCGAGAGATTTTTTCCACGCACGATGAAAAAAAAAGAAAAAAAGAGCAAATTTTTACATAAACACTAAAACATATTATTAATAAATACAAACATCAATCTCATATTATTATACGCGAGAAAAAATAGATATGTATATCATATATACAGGGTGTCTCAAAGTTGGCGCATCACCTGCTAATGACAAATTCTTAAAACCATTTTTTTCGGTAAAAATGTCGAGGGAGGTCATCATTTTTTTGTAAATTTCCAATTTTTTGCCATCATACAATCTTATAGATAAGCATTAAATTAAAATTCTATTAAAGTAAACTCCACCTGAGAAATTAATTAAAAAGTGTAGTTTTATTAATCTTTTAGCACAACAAAGTTTAGTTTGCAAAAAACCTTTTTTTTTTCAATCACTTATAATTCGGAAATTATTGATGCCTTGACATTTTCGCTGAGAAAAAATTGTCTCCAAATCCCAAGAATTAGTTATTAGCAAATGATGCGCTGGAAAATCTTGTATATACAATGTATATGTAGAGTGTCCGATAATAACCGTGTCACCCCTCATGTATAGTTAAAGAAGGTTAAACTGAATAGAAAAGTCCTCTACCATTTAGAAATCTTCGCAATAATTAATGAGAAATTAATTAAAAAAGATCGACCAGTGCGAGTATTCGATACGAGTAGCGTGCGTCGCGAAAAGACGACCCACTGTGACGCGGTTTCTAGGCGCGCAACGGGGAGGGAGAGGAACACTCTATGATTATAATCACAGATATATAGAATAGACCGGCCCCACTGTCGTGAGAGGCAGCATGGAACATATGAAGGACAGCAATCCCCACTGTTATTTCTATTCTTGCTTGAGTAAGAGTAATAGGGATAAAAGCGAATGAGGGGAATATGTGCATAAAAAGAGGCCAAGTTTTTGCGACGACTTTTCCCTTTTCGCGGCCGAATGCTAAGCGCGAGATAGACGCGAAAGAAATTGCTGGAATTCGCCACGTTGCTCGCTTTGTCTTCAAATTCTTCTATCAGTCTCCGCTACGCACTAAAAGAAAGAGATAGAATGCTATTTTTGTCCTTCATATATTTTCACGCTGCCTTCACGACAAGGGTAGATCTATCCTAAATGTCTATGATTATAATCGTTGCTATCTGCGGAGCATTCCCCTCCTCCCTCTCCGCTTCATCGCGTGCCTAGTAATTGCATCACAGTGTTCTGTCCTTTCTCGCAACGAGCATTGGTTGATTTTTTAAAATTTATTTCTCATTAATTATTGTGAAGGTCGCAAAACGGTAGAGGATTTTTCCATTCAACTTAACTCCCTCTACCTGCATACGAGAAGTGATATGGTTATTATCGGACATTCTGCATATATTGTGTATATATAATTTCTCGCAAAAAAAAAAATTATTGATTCGATGAAGATACTTGAAACCCATCATAAATCAATTAAAAACACATTGATTAATATAATTCGTATAAAAAAAGAAAGAAACATATGTATACACACGCATACACATACATATGTATGTAGGTATGTATGTATGTTGATATGTATGCATGTTGTGTATGTATGCCATATGTATGTATGTAGGTATGTATCCATATGTCGATATGTCGATATGTATGCATGTGTATATATATCCATATATATATATATATATATATATATATATGTATACATGTATATATGTATGTATGTATGCATCTATGTATGTATTTATGATGTATGTATGTATGTATGTATGTATGTATGTATGTATGTATGTATGTATGTATGTATGTATGTATGTATGTATGTATGTATGTATGTATGTATGTATGTATGTATGTATGTATGTATGTATGTATGTATGTATGTATGTATGTATGTATGTATGTATGTATGTATGTATGTATGTATGTATGTATGTATGTATGTATGTATGTATGTATGTATGTATGTATGTATGTATGTATGTATGTATGTATGTATGTATGTATGTATGTATGTATGTATGTATGTATGTATGTATGTATGTATGTATGTATGTATGTATGTATGTATGTATGTATGTATGTATGTATGTATGTATGTATGTATGTATGTATGTATGTATGTATGTATGTATGTATGTATGTATGTATGTATGTATGTATGTATGTATGTATGTATGTATGTATGTATGTATGTATGTATGTATGTATGTATGTATGTATGTATGTATGTATGTATGTATGTATGTATGTATGTATGTATGTATGTATGTATGTATGTATGTATGTATGTATGTATGTATGTATGTATGTGTACATATGTATATATGCATGTATGTTGCATATACATATACAAGATGTGTGTGAGTGTATATATTATTATATAAGTTCCGTTTAAAATAGCTATTAAACGAAAAGAGAAAAAAGAAAACCAAATAAAAGGTCACAAGAGTAAATTTGGTTTGATGTACTAACATATGCATCAATGATTGCCTTCTTCATGTTTTTTATAGTAAGTATCGTAAGAACGTATCATGCGAACCCATACAGCTGATTAGCGAGCATAACGAAAACTGCAGAATGCTCGCGATTGGTTCCCTTCTCGTTTCGCATTACGCTATTCCGCTGCATGGGTTCGCACTCTAAGTGCTCTCTTCCTCCCCCCTCCCTTTCTCTTTCTCTCTCTTTCTTATCCTTTCCGTCCCCACTCTTCCCTCCCACCCCCTTGCCCCTTCCTCTCCCCTCCCTCTCTCCATAACAAATATACAGGGTGGTCTTCGTAACGGTCGCCACAATTTTTAAGGCACTTACAATAATCTGACATAAAAAAGTCATAAACAGAAATTTATCAGTTTCTAACCGGCAACAAACTGCAATAATAAAAATTGACCAAACATTTTTTTT